CATTATCCTGAAAAGTGGAAACGATCTGACCAGAGATCAGTTGTTCGAATTCGTAAGCGGAAAATTATCATCAGCAATGGTTCATACACACAGAAAGTGATCGAAAAGATGCACAGGACACATTTCGTAATATTTCAACTGGCCTTCTATTAAAATTTTATTGCCCAGCGACAGAGCGAACTAAATGCAAACAGAGGACATTTAACATTGCTGCACCTCAATAAAAGCCCGAAAGTGAAGTCGTTACCAACATAAGCTTTCATATACGATCCTTCTTTGTGCTTACTAACCCTCCAGTGACATTGGCTGTCGATCAGAGATCTCTAGTCAACTCTATACTAGACCCTACTTTCCATTTACTACCAACTACTATGCATGATTATGATATCTGCTTTATATTCCTGGAACCACGTACCCTTTGTTCTGACTCTTTTCCTTTTACCTTCAAAATTCGAAGTTAGGGTTTGACTGGTGATGCAGTTTAATGGTTTCTGTAGTGTGTCTCACCCATCTCAAGCGCCTTTTCTCAATATCTGCCTCGATCGGCAGCTAGTCTGTTCTCTGCCACAGATTGTTACTGATGGTCTCTGTTCAATGGATCTGGAGTATCATACATATTGAGTGACAGTTGTTTTGAGTCACAGATATTCTTCAATTGTAAGAAAGCTCCCTTGTTTTGCCAAACTGTGCATTGGCATCTGTATCAAATCTTTCTTATTCATCAATGATGGTAACCACGTACGTGAAGGTTTCCATCTCATCCAAAGCTTTTCCATAGAGTATGATTTAATTGGTGCTTCAGGATTTCTCTTTTTCCCCTGTAACGCCTATTCTTGCCGAAGCCGATGACTCAATGGATTCCTCCATCTGTATATTTTGCTGTGTATGCGATAGAAACTCTATGTAATCTGTAAAGTCTTTTTCTTAATCCGTGAAGCTCTTCACGATCCAGTCAGTAACTTAAGGAAAGAGAAAAGGTGGAGATATGCATCCTTCTTCGACATCAGTTTTCATTCAGAATACACCAATCTGTAAGCTCTCTTCCATGCACGGCTTTATAATTCAGTCCTCAGTAGGAGTTCCACATGATGGTGACCATCTTTTCGGGCACTACATAGAACAAAAGAGGATTTCATGGGATTTAACCATTCAGGCTGTCGAATAACCTTTTCAGAATCAAGAAAGTTGACGTAAAGTCCAATTCAATTTGTTACTCATCAATGATTCACAGTATCGCAATTCGGTCGATAAAGAATAATCCTTAGCAAACCCAGCTTCCCGGCGTCGAATTTGGCTATCTACTGAATCTTTTATTCGCTTTAGAAACACTTGAAAACTTCCCCCCTGTAACGAGAGTGGCGTTCTTCTGTAGTTCTGACACTGATTAATACTTTCTTTGGTATCTCAATGAAGTACACCCAATTAACACTATGTGGTCGCGGTCGTCCTAGTATACAAAAGAAGAAACCTTGAGTAAATATAAATTATCTTAACCAATATCCTTTATATGTTCTTCTGAACAATAATTCATCGTCTAACTGAAACAAATAAGCTGTGATTTCAAGACAGTCTGGTAGGTTTCTTCTCTGATTGACAATGTATCGACCAGATACTCTACCAATCATTGCAAAATAAACAAAAATTATTGATGATGATATGTTACTCAATCAAATAATAGGTATTATCATGAGAAATAGATGAGTGAGAATATCCTAAAACCATTCGAATCTGGTGTTCTGTATCGAACACCGCTGTATTATATAACCTTCAAAAGTAAAATATAAGCTGAGGTTATATATATTTGAGGAATAATCCCTTTGAAGATTGCTAGACGAATTTTGGGTTTATAAAGTGTGTAATCTTGGTATTAGTTGAGGAGTATTGTGTAGGTAATGAATCCTAGTCGACTACACTAAATGTTGAGTCAGTAGTGTTGAAAATAAACTAGATACAGAAGCCTCGCGATGATCAGATCAACAGTGGTAAAACTTCGTTACCAGGTACACGTCTATGTTCATATATGGGAGGTAATGACGCTACACAGGAGAAACAGTACAACTTATCAATTATTACCAACGGTTAGACTTAAATTCAATTGCCTGAACGTACCATTACAATAATCATTCAAATACCACATTATTTGATATATGCAAAGAAGCAAACACTTAAACCTGGTACTGAAACATAAATTATAATAAATTCGTGTCTGTGTGTGTTATATTAAAAGAACCATGACAAACATTTGTGCATGAAAGAAAACGATTTGACAAAGGTTTTAATGATGAAAGCAGTTATGATATCAAGTTTCATATTCGTATAGTTTCGAAAAATTAACAACTGGTAAATAAAAGCAGCTTGTAAAATGGCACAATCTAGAAAGACGTTTATGAAACATAATATTACGACTTTGCTTACATAGACAGTCGTATACAGTTACAACTTGACAAATCCTTTTACATTCGTGGGCAAAGTTTTGTAGTACAGTAAGCAATAAATATTTTATTATATCACTATTCAATATTCACATTTGTGAGTAAATATTTATTTAGCAGTCACAAATTCAGGTCAAATATATTCATTGTGATATGTAAGGATTAAGTACACGAAATTAGTAAAGAATAAAACGGACAAGTTGAACAACGTGGTATGCACACATAGAAATATGGTTAAATTTTGTCTTGGGTGGTAACAATTGTTTCGATGACACTTCCCTGATAAATGGAGTGAACATAAAAATAATTCTAAAAACTAGAATGAAAATGTAATGTATTCTTCGTAAAATAACGTGGAAAAAGTTTTCAGATGGCTACAAATAAGAATGATGTATAGCTAAACAGAATATCAGCTTTTAAAGAACTGGATTTGAGAGGGTCGCTTTCAAAGTTGAATAAACCCACCAATATAAATCCTAGTATAAAATTATTCATTAATTTCCGACTAGTTACTAATTGATAATGGCTATGATTCAAAGTGAATTGTGATAATTTAAATCCAAATAGATTAGTGTGTTCCACATGTTCTTTGTTTTCTTTGTAATACCTACTTAGTAAACAGCGCTTTTCTTTACTTCATGATTACAGCATACAATATATTAGTCACAAAGGAATTGGAAGTACTGCGGAATGCAACCGCGATATGAGGTCAAGGTGTGGAACACCTCGATTTATGATTTTTGACAAAAAATGAACTATGAGCGAACTGCATAATTCAACAATGGTATGAGACAGCTGTGATTGTATAATCAGTCCATCATAATTAATGTACAGCCTATCACAAATCTGTGTCATTCAAAGTATCTATACCCCTACAATACGAGACGAAAGTAACAAGATGAATAACTGAGTTGGAACAATAATAGTAGTAATGATAATGAGAGAAACTAAAGCACCACGATAGGGTTTGAGACAGAATGAAAATATATGTATGGAGGAATATTACGACTCAAGGTTTAGAAGATAAAGGGTAAATACACTTTTGTCATTGTGACCGATTCTAAGCCATGTTACACATCTCCAGTGGTTGTGATAACCGCGTAGACTCTAGTCAGGTAGTCTGCATCTACCGGCACGACTCAGACCAACAGTCAACGATTTCATGGACTGATGCCAGATTTTGGCTTGGTCACCCTTAGCTTTATTTCAACCTAGTCCTACATCAATTAATACTCTACATCGAGGTGAGAGGGGAATAAGCATGTGTAACATAGGTCCCAACCACCTAAATTCATGAACATTCACAACGTTATCAATCAATTCGACATCTTTCCTTAGTACCAGACGTTGAAAGTCAACATCGTTCATACGATCGTTCCACAAGCTAATAATGCTTTAAAGACATCGCAGCCTAAGCATATATTTCACTTTCATGGACCTTTTTTAGAGCCACAAAATACTAAAAAGTGAACTATCATGAAGTTCATTAGCTGAGATTTGTATACGGAAGTGGTGAGTGAAACTACAAAACGTTGTGAGTTGAGAAAGAATCCAAAGTAATGACCTCCAGGTAGTCAACTAAGCACTTTGTCATCTACGATATGAAACCCGTATCAAAAGAAGGTTCCGATTTCGCCACAACCACTGAGTGGTTTTAACTAACTCAAGTACAGTGACCGTCCCCGTGAACAAAACTAAATTTGTCCATCAAGACTAGGTAGAAATCAATCAGTTTCTATTCCTGTCTTCCTCAAGTGTGGTTTAATTGGGTGTAGAAGTGTGTGCTGAAGCGAAGATCTGGTGACCAGATGCGTTTCACAAGCTAACATATATCAAAAATTTTAGAAAATACCACTATCTGCACAACATTTTTTGCTTAGATTTTTAGACAACACCATCTTATATATTATGTACGTTCAAAATAGTCGCTGCCACGAAAACCACGCAGACAAAAAAATAATTTACATCATAAAAGGTATAATCATCTATAGAAACATGAAAAATTTAATAAGAGATTCAGGAATTGTTGATATGCCCACGTACATATGCCTTTGTGCACTGATAGTAAAAATAAAAGGAATACAGGTCAAATTAAAAATTAAGACAATTTTAGGTAGAAAAGTATTGTCTCATAAATACATACAGTCGAAGGTTAACTAACTGCAGTTATTGAGTTCACTAATAAGGAGACTGAACATTTAATACAAATAATGATAATACACGAAGTAACAAAAAAAGATAAACTGTAAACTGTGCAAATATTTAAGACAAGAAATTTTCATGTGAATGAATGGTGTAGTGTTATTTAGCAGTTTAACAAATTATGCGTATCAGTGAGGTATTTTAATTAAGTAGTATTGTAAATTGAATGAAGCCACGTGTCATCGAGTTTGATGCAATTGTGTGTGAGCACGAATAATGAGTCCCAAATCGCGACGAAATAGTTGTCGTTCCTCCTTCGTTTATGATAAGTTTTTAGCTTATTTTATTTTGTAGTGAACACTACTTTTAAATTCCATAAGCCTTACCACAAATACTTCAGTAATAAGTAATGTGACTTTAACTTACTTGCATCCGAAAAGTGACAGCACCCATAATCTCCGGCCGACATTCATCGGACGATGGAATATGACTGACCAGTTGCTGAAATCAAACAGTATAAATGCAATTATACGCCTAAAGTTACTTTTTAAAAAATTTTACAAAGAAAAGTTGGGTAAATATCTATAGTCAATCGCAAACTTATATATATATATATATATATATATATATATATATATATATATAAACAATCGAGCTGATTGAATAACTAATCAGTTACACTTTAATTGAAAGAAAAATAATGGGAGAGAAAAGACAGGAATGATACAATACCCGAATTCCATATGTTCACGGCAGTTTACCAAATTAATTTTAAGTCGTAAAACTCAGGCTTCAAGATCGACCAAAAGAAAATCATTAACCTAACCAACCACATATATTGTTCATCATATGCTTTAAACAGACACAAAAATTTGTGCAAAGCAAAGTTACACAAAGACAAACACGAAAAAATTTGCACCACACAGTAATTGTTTAAGTTGCTGGACCTTCCAAAAAAACAAAGATAAGACTAAATAACGGTAAATAGATGTAGAATAAAATGTTTGGGTGTACGAAAATACGAAAGGAATAGTTTGGTAGGTGATCAAGTTGGTCGGATTGGTACATTACAAACGATATTCACAAATGATATGCAGATAAGCAATCTTCTCATGAGCGTAATCTGTGTACCAAACATCACCGGGCATGAACATGACTAGACTGCCTTGAATATTTGTCGAAAAATTGCAAACCAAATAATGTGTGAGAAATATTTGCAAACATTGTTTACCCTTAACAAATCTCGTATTTACATCAATTAATATAGTATTTACTAGACGAGGTATCACCTGGTTCAATTCATATGATCTACACCGTCAGTGTGAAACGTTGTAAAAAAAACAATGGATCATAAAAATTTGTTAAAGTCAATCTGTAATTTCACAAACGTCATCACCTAATGGTTTGATATGTGTCGGTCTATTCCAATGTCCATGATGGAGTCTATCTTATTTTTTTATCAACTGTCTAACGGCACTTGAGTATAAAATACTCAAGTGCCGTTAGACAGTTGATAAAAAAACAGTTACAATCTCATATTTTTATTTTAACAATAAAAAGCAGACTACAGAGTTCTGAGTGGATCACTGTAACGCAATCAGTTTTTCCTCGTAAGCTCATAAAATTCGTGTCATTTTAACAGCATGTAATTTCATGAAAATAATATCAAATTTGTTTCAAAATAAAACCTAGATTATATGATTAAAGAAAATTAAATTACATGTAACATGACAAGGTAGATATAAGTAGTAATAGACTAGACCTAGTGATACCAAGCAGTAACGGAAAAGACTAATGTGGAGTAAAGATCGAAACTATGATCTAATATCTGTAGAAACATGAATACTTTTAACCATTATACCATAACTAGTAGGGTGATCTGGAAGTAATGAAAAGATAAGCACATAATTCAATTATAATACAGTTACGATTAGTACTTAGTTTCTCCTTCAAATATAAGTTGAAGAATATAACTAACAAAACGAGAAACAAATAAAATATTTTACGATTAATTTAATCCCATTGTTATTCATCTTAAACGATTCATTATGTAACTTCCTCCTAATCAAATAACAAGTCTTGTTGGATAGAATAAAAAAACACTAATCAGATGGAAGTCAAGTGAGATTAGTATACAAATAAGACAAAAATCAAGTTAGCGAAGCGACCACTTTTCAGTTTTAAAAAAACTGATGAATTATTTGAAGAACCAAATTAACTTGCGCAGCGTTAAAAATATAGGAGTATCTTGACAGTTCAATACATAATAGTCTGATATACAGCTTTAGGTCTTTGTACTAGCTCTTTTGAGATTTTGAAAAAAAAACGTTTTGGGTCTGCAGAATCATGCTGCCCAAAACATTCTGTATTGATATGTAGAAATGATAAACAAATTCGTTTACTAACCTCCAAACCATGCTCAGTATGTGAAGGATAATTACATTACAAGACTGTAAAAATCTTACATGTTCATAATTCTGGTCCTTTTGGTTAAAAAGGGGGACCATTTCAAACAATTAAGTACAAATTTGTGTTGACAATAATGATAATACCTCACAAGCACTAGAAATTAATTATAACACAATTTCACTATTGTTGATCTAGTGAACATGGTACTCTGTTTTGAAAGTATGTATCCAATCAATACATCGTTGTGAAAAACTAATAATTTATCAATAATTAAGGACCTGTAATGTCTTCAACTGAGCAAATATACTGCTAATGCACACGAACAGTAACCTATTCATTTGGAATGTGGTCTACAGTCCTTACTGAAACACACTTTTTTATAACAGTCTAAACAATCACTAAATAATTATTCTGCTTTAGATTAGCACGCAATTATTCGAAGTGCGTTATATGAGCAAATTATTTAGTTTAGTGGACTTTGATTCTCTGGACATCATTTCAAACTTAAAGGATTATCTTAATTTTGCTTACGAGATTAAGTAAATATTACTGATTGTATCTCATTGATTTGATATTCGTAAAGAAATAAAGGATGTATCAAACGAGACAAGTAAAAACAGAGAATAGAAGAAACCAAAGTAACAACGATGATGAGTTTTAAAAAAATCATAGAAATATTGTGCTATGTTTGGAGATTACGAGATCATCCAAAAAGGCTAACGAAAAGAAGAATTAGCAACTCTATGTTTACTCAAAAACTCTTGTCTTACAAAAACTTTCCAAGTATGTGGAAACTCTTTAAAGAACCTACAGGTGGCAGACAGATTTGGAGCGATAACTAGCTGAATGTTTGTGACCTAAATAAGTCTTTTGTACGTCAGTCATCTGATGTGATGCTCCCTTTAACCACAGGTTTAAAGAATAGCTGTGTTACTAGTTTCGCTGAAACTGATGTCCGAAGACGTCTCCAGTCACTTAATTCATCCCGATGTTTAGGACCTGATGATATCCCAAACCTCCTTTTTAAAAAATGTGCTGACGTCCTATGTTATCCATTCACGACTATCCTTAACAGATCCTTCTCATCTAATCTCATACCGAAAATGTGGAGAAAGACGAAGATGATCCCTGTACCAAAGAAAGTATCTGATGATAAGAATGTAAAATTTTTGGACCTATTGCAATAACTTCACCCTTCCTCAAAACAATGTAAAAATTATTAATACTTCCACTTCAGCCTGCAATAAAAGAGTATATTGATCCGTATCAGTTTGCTTAAAGAAGCAAAAGAAGCACCCGAGATGCTGTTGCTGTTCTGCATCACAATATAGTGTTCAACTTAAGAAAGGGTAGGAAGTATGTTCGATTACTCATCATTTACTCTTACAATTTGTCAATTCTCGCAAATTACCTATTATGCTTTACTGTTCTCCATTATTCTTTCCCGGGCTTTTGAAGAAAGACTTTGCTGTATTGCAGAGAGTGCTGAAGGCAGTTAGCAAGATGTGTGGTGAATCTTTCGAGGTCATAGTTAATATGGTTGTGGATAGACATTTAAAATCATGCAAACTACTGGTAGGTGTTATTTTATCAGATACTAACCATCCCCTTCACTCTTATCTTTCTCCTTGTATATCTTCTGGTAGAACGAGACGTAATTACATTAAAATCCATACGCCCAAGCAAAAGTATGAAAGTTCTATAATACCTTACCTAGCAAATATACTCTGTGACGAACAGGTTGTTAGAGTTAACCTAGTCAATAACCTGCATCCTTAACATGTCTCTAATTTGAAAAGTTGTAGTTTTTCAGATTGTTTTAAACCATTTTTTCCATTTTGTCTTTGTTTCTGTATTTTTGTGTAAGAAACTTGTTGAAATAACCTGTGCTGAGAATTCTAAATTGTACCAAAATATAATATTGAATAAAGCCATTAATAATAATATTATTAATAATAATAATAATAATAATAATAATAATAATAATAACGAAAAGACAAGCTAACTATTCTGATGTGTTCCAGACCTGCTACTAGAGGGAGAAGACCAGGTTGGGATGAGAGAAATGTATATTCCACAGGCAGCTAGAAGCACGAACAAACCAAGCACGCACCTCAAGCATTTATAAGCACAGTATATAAAGGTCTTTAGGAAATGTTACAAAATAGTGTATTAAAGGAGGCAACGAACCAATGACATTTATGGTCCTTCCAAGTGGGAAATACACTCTGAAGGTAAAATCAGGTGCTTTTGGCGCGAAAACGAGAAATTCAGATTTTCAAAGTAAAATTACAAAATTAAGACGTTTACCAAGCGATTTCTGAAGATCTAGCATCTAGTATATTGAAACATTGGGTTTATGCTGCTCCCGTCGCAAGGTTGGGTTTCTCGTTTTATCCATCAAAACAAACATCTAGAAGCCAAGTTTATCGAATAAGTTACAATCAACTGATTAGAACGGTTAAAATGTTAACAATTACATAGGACTACAGAAAATGGACACGGTGAACAAATAAAACTTGGAAATTAAGAATAATTTCTCAAATATACCTCATGTTGATCTATGAGAATTTGTAAAAAAGCATCTGCCTCTACGATACGACGGTCGAATTCGGAAAGGCTGCAAGGATGTTCCAGTAAACGATTGGTCTGTAAAAATGAACAAATAAAATGCTCTATAATATCAACTATCGAAAAGTAAAGATGAATTGCAAACACGAGAGAATCGAGCTGGCTTCAGACCTGGTCGTGGCTGCATCGATCACATATTCACCATTTGTCAGGTTTTAGAACATAGGCATACTTATCGGCGTCCGACAACCGTGGTCTTTCTTGACTTGAAAGTAGCATTTAATTCCGTAGACTGCGAGATTCTGTGGCAGTGTCTGTCATTGAAAGGCGTACCTCAGAAGTACATAAATCATGTGAAGGTTCTTTACTAGAACACTATTAGTCGAGTCAGAGCTTATGGAGAACTGTCATCTGCTTTTGCGACCTCAAGTGGTGTCCGTCAAGGCTGTTCACTTTCTCCATTTTTGTTTAACTTCATCATAAACCTATTGATGGAAATAACATTCTCGTCTACTGAATTCTCGGGTATCGATCTCCTACCAGGAGGTCCACTTATCGACTTAGAATACGCAGACGATATAGTCCTGTTTAAAGAAGACGCTGATAAAATGCAGTCTTTTGGTAGCACTGAGCGACAATGCCAGAATGTTTGGAATGCGCTTCTCTCCCTCTAAACGCAAGCTGCTGCTTCAGAACTGGTCTAGGTCAACACCTAAACTAAGTATAGGGAGTGAATTAGTCGAACGCGCTGACAACTTCACTTATTTTGGAAGTCTGATCAGCCCTAATGGGTTGGTATCGGACGAAATCTCAGCACGGATTCGAAAAGCTCGTTTGGCTTTTGCCAACTTGCGTCACCTTTGGCGAAGGCGAGATATCCGTCTATCAATAAAAGGACGAGTATACTGCGCGGCAGTCCGTTCTGTTTTAATTTACGGCAGCGAAACATGGCCACTAAGAGTAGAAGACACTCGTAAGTTATTAGTATTTGACCACAGATGCCTTAGAAATATTGCTCGCATCTGCTGGGATAACAAGGTAAGTAATAGTGAGGTTCGACGCAGGATATTAGAAAATGATGGCAAATCAGTTGATGAGGTTGTGAATCTTCATCGACTGAGATGGTTGGGCCACGTGTTACGTATGCCTGAACACCGATTACCACGACGCGCAATGCTAACCGGTGTTGGGGATTGTTGGAAGAAAGTTAGGGGCGGCCAAACCAAAACGTGGCATCAGTGCTTGAAGACACTAACTTCTAGTCTGAGCCATGTTGGTAGATGCAGACTACTTGGTTGGGGTCCGCGTGACTATCGTAACCAATGGTTGGAGACTCTTGGTGACATGGTTCAGAATCGATCACAATGGCGTCGGTGTATACACTCTCTGTCTTCCCTTAAACTAAGAGATCAAAATTCGCTTCATATCTTTCTTTCTACGAACCAATTCTTTCTTCCTGTACTATATCCTTATATGCAATCTTTCTTTTATATATTACCACCTCTGAATTAACTACTTTTATGAATCCGGTGTCCATCTTGTTGTGTTAATGAGGTACGGCAACTTGGACCGATGCATATATGTGCCTGGTCCTACGTTGTAGCTGACTGACGGAAAAATTGAGTGACATTGATCTTTGAATAATGTGGTCAATAAAAAATTCCATGTACCGAGAAACTTCGACGTCAGCAGACAACATTGTAATAGCCTACACGTAGTTACAAAATATTTATGAAATTAAACGTTACTGGTTACTGAAAAATAACATGATACATAAATTGAGTCATAGATGCTGTGAAACAAGTTGTAAAGATGACCAATATATATTGGGAACAAATTATTAATTATGTTAAAGTAGTCAACTAAATTTCTCTTGAATTCGAAATCACTACATAATCGGCTGTGGGTCTGTGTTAAGTAATGAACACATCTAAAATAACATCTGTCTTAACGAACTCAACATCAAGTGTATATTCAGTGAATTTAATGGTTTAAGTATGACAGTCAGTAGCTTTGCGGTGGATTTAGTGTTTCATTCGGAAAATGTCGGATGAATTTACTTCAGTTTCATTATTCTCTTGAAGTTTGAACACCACTAGGCAAAAAACGCTTGAACGTTTTGGTTTTATACAATGCGATCTTTACTATTTACTTATTATTTATTTCAACACATAGATATTGGTACAAAGAGGCACCAAATACATATGCGCCGCACAAATCTCATTCGATATGTATGAGGGCTGTGATAATCCCCGGGTGCCCAAACCGAAGCAAGTGGTTTTCTTAGGGGGCCACACCCGGAGCCCTCGACCCGAAGGTCTGATCAACAAGAAAGTGGAGCAACATGAGGAGATGCAGTCCCATGGAAGCCGGTGACCAACAATTGGTTCATACGACATTTGTTCCCTCAGGATACTGGAGCCCATGAGCACCATTCGTTTGGAATCAGGGTTTTCCAACTCCCTGTAATTCCGTAAAACCCTAAATCGCAGTTTGACAAGGAAATTCTTCACGCTTGAAAACGCATTACGTTTGGAAAAAGTTAGACGAAGAAATAATGGGTAATACATTCAGTATGATCGATGATCATATCACTTAGTCAACGAATCAGCTGAGTATTTAGTCTTAAAATCAGTAAAATATTCAACAGGCAACAATTCGGAAAAAATGAATAACCAAAACCTTCAGAATACGTAAGTTTTTCCAGAGAAAAATTTCAGCACTCAGTAAGAATCACTAAGTTTTATATGTTATCCAAACAATATAAACTTACCAGTTATGTCTTAAAAACTTGCTTGCTAAGAGTAAGAGAACTTTACAACAGTGCTAAACAAAGAATTATAAACAGGCTTTGTTCATTACGTCAAGATTCCTATCTTACCACATATTGCCAATGAGACCACTTTTGAGTAAAACAATATTTCTACTAGTAACAAACTATGTTGGATATAAAATATCAGGAAACACTGAAGTTAATATTGCTGTTTAACAGGTTGACTATTTTAATTAACACGACGAATTTATTCTAAATCAAATTAGCCACACATTAAAAGTCAGTAACAACATGGAACTTCGAACGTACGTACATCAGTTCGAGTTGCCATACCACATTAGCACACAGATAAAATAATCGATTCAAATTCCGTTGTGGTAGAGGTAGTAAAAGTATAAGCAGTGATCGGAAAGACAAGGGCTTGAAGATAATACAGTGAAATAAATTTGGGAAGAGAAAAAAAGAAAGGGACAAAAAGAATTCAGGAGATTAGAATTTGGGAGAACACAAAGAGTGGATGCACCTGCACCATTGCAAACCATTTTGAGCCATGTCATTCAGGATTTCTAAACATCGGTTTCTATGATCTTGCGGTCCCCAACCAGGTAGTCTACACCTACCAACATGACTCAGTCCACTTGTCAGTGACTTCATGAACTTGTGCCACCCCTGGCCACCCCTAGCTTTCTTACAACCTACTCCTACACCACTGAACATCGCACGTCAAGGCAGTCGGTGGTTGGGCATATGTAACACATGTCCCAGCCATCCAACTGATGAGGTTTTACTACTTCATCAACTGATTTGCCATCCTCATCCAGTACCCGTTTCCTGACAACTGCATTACTTACTCGATGGCACCACGATATACGGGCAATGTTTTGAGGACATGTATGATCGAATACTAGTAACCTACGAATATCCTCTACTCTTACCGGCCATGTTTCACAGCGATAAAGTAGGATGGAACGAACTGCTGCGCAGTAAAAACACGTCCTTTGGTTGGTAGACGGATATCTCGCCTACGCCATAAATGACGCAAGTTGGCAAAACTAGTCGAGCCTTCAGTATCCGTGCTGAGATTTCGTCACACACCAGACCACAAGAGCTGATAAGACTCCCAAAATAAGTGAAGCGGTAGACACGCTCAACTACTTTACTCCCTATCATTAGTTCGGGTGTCAATGCAACCCAATCCTAAAGCAACATTCTGCATTTTGAGGGGGATAATCGCATCCCAAGCATGCTTGCATTGTTGTTTAGAGTGGTCAGAAGACTCTGCATTTCGTCAGCGTCTTCACCAAATAGAACTATGTCATCGGTATATTCTAGGTCAGAAAGTGAATCTCCCGGTAGAAGTTCAACCCCTTGAAATTCAGATGAGGAAAGTGTTATCACTAAAAGCATGTCTACGACAAAGTTGAACAAGAATGGAGAGAATGAACAGTCCTGACGAACACCACTTGAGGTGATCAATTCTGATGACAGTTCGCTATAAGCTCTCACTCTACCAGTTGTGTGCAAATGGAGAGCCTTTACAAGTTTAATGTACTTCTTTGGTACTCCTTTCAGTGACAAACAATGCCATAGAACCACACGAATGCCGCCTTAAGGTCGAGAAATACTACGATTGTGGGGCGTCTGAATGTGTGTCTGTGTTCTAGAACCTGACGTAATGTGAATATCTGATCTATACAACCACGTCCAGGTCGAAAACCAGCCTGATTTTCTCTAGTCTGTTCTTCACGAGCTTTGGTTAGTCGTCGAAGTATTATTGAAGCTAATACTTTAGATACTATATTAGTCAAACTAATTCCTCGGTGATTGTCACAAGAGGACTTTTATCCTTTCTTATAGACTGGCACAATCAGTGATTGAGACCAGTCAGATGGGATTATGTCCAGTTCCCAAATTCTACCTAAGACCTCAGTTAATCTCACTGTTAATACTGAACCACCATCCCTAAAAATCTCAGGAGTAAACCTGTCAGGGCCTGCTGCTCTCCCACGCTTCAGATTTCCTATAGCTTTTTCAACTTCGTAAAGAGACGGAGGACCTACTTTAACTTGCCATTCAGGTAGACTGGAGATCGTGGGAAACCGAAGTGTGACCGAAGGCCAGTTGAACTGATCCCTAAAGTGTTCTGCCCATCGATCCAATCTCCCGGATTGAGAATGAATAGTATGTTCATCTTTTTCTGAGATAGTTTCGCGAACATTCGGGTTCCTAGTACCAGTTTCCTTAACATGTCTGCTGTTACCTATTGCCACTGCCTTTTCTATCTCTCTTGCTTTCGCCACCCACCACTATTCGCGATCATTGCGTAGGCTTCTTGTCAGCTCGTACTTAAGCTGACTCCGCTCTTCGTGATGTTTATAGCCAGATGGAATGAGTTTTCGAACGTCTATCAGTGCGGTAGTTGCTGCTGAGATCCAGTGTTTCTCCCTAATCTTGTGGTTTACCTTACTAGCAGACATCACTGCTGTTTCCACAGCTTTTCGGATGTCGTTCCACGCTCCCTCGGGGCGGGCATCGCTTACATGGCTGCCCAACTTTTGCTAGTTGTTCCTCAAATATACTCTTAGCCTGACTATCATCAAGTAGGACCCTAACGGGTTTCCTTGCATCATCTTTCCCACGTTCAGTAAGACGCAGGCAAATACGCGCTTGCACTAGAGCAAGATCTGAGTCTAAGCATGTGCTCCAGAATGAGCGACAGTCTACTATCATCGGTGGCTGGTAGCAATGTGATCTATTTGGGTCCAATGTTGGGACGAATTCGGGGGTCGCCATGTCAAAAGATGTTTTTCCTTATGCTTAAAGTTAGTATCTGCAAAAAACAGGCGGTTATCTGAGCATAGCTGCAACAGACGGTCGCCATTATCTGTTCTTTGAGCCGCGACACCATAAGATTCACCCAGGAGTCTTTCCCTTTCGCTTACTTTACCTACTTGAGCATTAAAATCACCAGCCTCTATTACTACATCAGAGCGCCTAGCTTTTCGGAGAAGGTCGGAAAGCTTTTTGTAAAACTCATCTTTTACATCGTCTGAGCTGCAGTCAGTGGAAGAATGAATCTTTAAACAACTGTTCAACATTTTTATAATATTTATCGTATTCAATTGAATTCACATAGTGACACTTTCATGATTTTTATAAAACTCTACTATTATTGTTGTCATTAAAATTTACATTTCAAAGATCTAGAAACACATCGATTAGTCTCTAAACACTTAGATTTTATACTAGTCAACAACCTAGATTTGGGGTTTAAGAGAAACTCTATACACTAGAACTGTATAAAACACTCGATCCACACCCAGTGTTGACTGAAGTTCAGGATACTGGATAAAAACTGACTCTATCTGTATGAAACTAAATGGCACAAAATAACATTTCACCTTTAATTAAACCCCTACCAATTTAATTTCCTGTGTTCCACTATTTTTGTTACCTTAATTTTTTGGTTTCTCTTGAACTAGTATTTTTTATCTCAACTAAACCGTCAAAACGAAGAGATTTGTACCGATGAGTTGTAGTGCTAGATCCTTTAATGATTAAACCATTAGCATCAACAGAACTTTTGGTTTTCTTATTTAATACTTTCCTGAATCACTTTCACCAGACATACGAATCAGGTAGAGGGAAGAAGCAGTATATGCTACGTTCCGTGAACGTAACCGCAAGTTGATGATAAAAAAACAAAAAGGTATCTATATATAAAAACGAATATTTCAATCATCAATGACAAACATATAGACATCACATGAACTATAGTCAGTGAAGGACGAATCTAGAGTACAATATTTTCTATATTTACAGTGAGTAATTTAAAACGGTAAGAATATTTATAATAGAATATTTTTGCCTATTAAGTGGTTTGTAAGTATTTATGTGCTGTTAGAGAAATCTAGTTATTAAAAAATATATTTAGAATTATCATCGGTGTAGTCTGTACAGTTGACATTATTAAGGGGTTAATAAGATTGCATTATCAAATCTATGATTTCTTTATACAAAAGTGTTGCAACGTGTTAACTCAAATTCGTCTATTTACTTTAAATTTAATCGAAAATTGCCTGTCATTAAAAACTAAAAAAAGACAATTACCGCGTATGACTACACAAAAATAGCACATGCAAATAAAATGAGATTGGTTAGATGACTTGAGCATATTAACTAAATAGACTACTAAGTTGAATAAAAAGAACTTTATATAATCACTAACCTGATTCAGAAGAGCATAATTCTGCGTATGTAAATCCCTAGCCTCCTGTAAAGCGTCTAGCCACTTTTGACGTTCATCTGAGTTACGAGCTAAAGAAAAAATTGATATTTATAATAACTGGATAAAGATCAGATACAAAATGATTTACGAAACTGCTAAAATAAACAATAATTAAGTTAAAGCAGCAAGGTTTACTGTATTCACTCGGCTTAACTTTCACTAAAGTAACAATGAGTTATAATCTATAAATAAAAGTTTGCGACTCCCATGGAAACTTTACACACATTTCTCCTTATCAAAACATATACAAGTTTGGAAAGCGAATATCTTATGATAACAGTCATGTAAATCCTTGGTTTCGATTTGTACTTTTATTTCGAGATGAAAAACTAGACGTTATTATCCGTATTTCATGTAACTAGTTTAGGGCTGGTGGTATTAAAACTTAGGCTTAGAGTTTTAACTCATCTCTTCTACAACAAAGCAACACTAATCACCACGCAATCTAATGTCAAGTCATTTAAGTGACAGTGAATAATGAAAGGAAGGGCGTGACACTAAATAACAGGAAATTTTTAACTGTAACTAATATTGTTAATCAACTTTCATACTGATCAGAAAAATGGTGATCTGCGGTTTTGTACGCGATACTAGTCACTAGATTTAGCTCATTAACGAATATCAATGTATCTAAATAAAAAGTTTAAATAAAATAAAGTGTAACTAAGTAATCTGTCGAACAACTAAGTTTTAACTACACAATACGGATTATTGTTACTTTAGTATTTTGACCGGATATGTAAACCATATTACATCGAAATTGAGAAGGAAATGTTATTTGTGAAGTAGCTTATAGAAAACATTATTTAACAGTTAAATTATTTTTTCAAACACTCAGAAGTATATAAGCCTACTGATAAGTACATAAGTATAATCATATGACTGCTAAGCGTTAATATTCAAATAAAAAACAGTATCGATGATTAAAGGATAAGCAACCACATGTTGTGAACGGGCATTTATATTCAAATGCAACCTTATTTTAAAATAAAGTAGTACTCCAAATGACTCTGTAAATGAACTAAAATTGATTTATGAAAATACAATTTTGTACAGGAAAATCCTACTCAATGTCAAACTCATCAGTGACAAAGGTATGACTAATAAGTCAGTGTGAAATGTTCAGAAAAATCCTCACACAATGCATAGAGCACAACTGGAAAGTTCATATAAATACATATTTATCCTGTTATACGAAAGCCTGAACCAACCAAAAAAATCTACTAATCTGTGTTGTTATACTACACCGAATAAAGCCACTCAATAGTCCAAATCTTAACAGATAAACAACAGTGAACAAATACCCACCCTGAACTAATCAGATTTAAGAAACACACAAACTTTATTATCCTAGTGATAAGACATAAACACGAGTAATCATATAGAAAATACATAGACCTTTTTTATGCAAATAAAATAAAGCAGTTTTAAACCCAATTTAAGGGAAGTCAAGGAGTGTATACACCTTCACCATTGTGGTCGATCCTCAGTTAGTCATTTTATTTACTATGCCACGTTTTGGATTGGCCGCCCCTAACTTTCTTCAGTCCGTCTCCAACATTAGTCAGCATTGTGCACACTGGTAATCGGTGTTCAGGCATACGTAACACGCGGTCCGACCATCTCAGTCGATGAACAATACTGCACTTCTGGGACAGGGACAGAGAAAAGTAGCTGAAAGGAAGCTTGAGGTCACGAATAAACCATACTTAGCTGATCTAAAAGTAATGGGTATAAAGCTTTCACAATACATGACGTTAATTTGGTATGATATGGGTATATTATACTGATAATAATTGTCTTTATCAAGAATGATATATTCCGAACTTTCAGATTAAATAATGATCATGAATTAACATAATCCTTATAGTACCCCATCCTGAATGATCACGTTTAAGTTTTAACGGTAAGTAAAGACTAATGGTAAAACATGAAATTGGTAGTATAAATGTATGAAGGGATACTTTCGTGGTCAAAGTTTGTGGGTTGTAAAATTCACCTCCGAATCAGATAGTGTTATCTACTTCCGATTTCTATACCGTACTGAGAAAAACAACCATAGATATATCCTCTCAAAAAACCCCATCAACCATTGACTAATATTTTGATTTTCCAAGTCCCTGGATGTTTATACAGTTTCTTGTCTATAACCATCTGGTACAAGTCAAACACAATTTCCACAGAACAATCAGTTGGGCAATCTTTCACAGAGCAGTTTGAAATTTCAAAAAAAGTGTAGCGATGACGGAGAATAAATCAGTACGGTTACCTTGGAAGTGAAATGTTTTGTGATCAACAGTTATGGTGAATGTACTATCATCTTCATCATCAATCCCAACTTGAGCATTTTTTAACTTTACACATCCACGTCTATCGCCCCGCATCATCTTCTCTTTAGACTAACAAACAGAAAAAACAAGGATTTTAAAACTACTTTATGCTGCACTAACATAAGCTAGTCAAAAACTGAACATTTTAAAGATATATTCACCCATAACAACAATAAAGACGTTAACCGTTTGAACAAGACTCAAGTCAATATCTAACTTATAATGTAAATTATACGTACGTGAAAGTTTGGATTAGGTGAAATTCCAACAAGATTGTCAAGATCCCTATTTTTACGACCTAGTTACTTATTGCTTAATATTCTTCGGACACTACATCATTTGACAAGTCCCCGAATCAGAACAGGAATGTGATTATATCCCAAATAAACACGGGCGAATAGAGGTAGGAAGCATTATAAAAAAACTTTAGTAACATTTATAATTCTACACAAGAAGCTGTTAGAGTCTTTTCCAAGTATCTGCTACAGTTGATTGGCTATAACTTAGCCAATCAAGATGACCCAATACAATACTGCTAAGCATAGTGAATGAAGTTGTCGAATGTTTAATTACGCATCAAGACTCAGTCAGTCAGTCAGTCAGTCAGCTACAACGTAGGACCAGGCACATATGTGCATCGGTCCAGGTTGCCATACCTCATTAGCACAGCAAGATGGACACCGGATTCATAAGAGTGGTTAGGTCAAAGGTTGCAATAAGGATATAGTATAGGAAGAAAGAATTAGTTCGTAGACAGAAAGAATGAAGTGATTTTAGTCTCTTAGTTTAAGGGAAGACAGGGAGTGTATACACCGACGCCACTGTGATCGATTCTGAGCCATGTCACCAAGAGTCTCCAACCATTGGTTACGAAAGTCACGCGGACCCCAACCAAGTAGTCTGCATCTACCAACGTGGCTCAGACTAGAAGTTAGTGACTTCAAGCACTGATGCCACGTTTTGGTTTGGCCGCCCCTAACTTTCTTCCAACCATCCCCTACCCCGGTTAGCATTGCGCGTCGTGGTAATCGGTGTTCAGGCATACGTAATACGTGGCCCAACCATCTCAGTCGATGAAGATTCATAACCTCATCAACTGATTTACCATCATTCCCTAATACCCTGCGTCTAACCTCACTATTACTTACCCGGTGATCCCAACAGATGCCAGCAATATTTCTAAGGCATCTGTGGTCAAATACTAATAACTTACGAGTGTCTTCTACTCTTAGTGGCCATGTTTCGCTGCCGTAAATTAAAACAGAACGAACTGCCGCGCAGTATACTCGTCCTTTTATTGATAGACGGATATCTCGCCTTCGCCAAAGGTGACGCAAGTTGGCAAAAGCCAAACGAGCTTTTCGAATCCGTGCTGAGATTTCGTCCGATACCAACCCATTAGGGCTGATCAGACTTCCAAGATAAGTGAAGTTATCAACGCGTTCGACTACTTCACTCCCTATCCTTAGTTCAGGTGTTGACGCAGACCAGTCCTGAAGCAACAACTTGCATTTAGAGGGAGAGAAGCGCATCCCAAACATTCTGGCATTGTTGCTTAGTGCTACCAGAAGACTCTGCATTTTCTCAGCGTCTTCACCAAACAGGACTATGTCATCTGCGTATTCTAAGTCGATAAGTGGACCTCCTGGAAGGAGATCAATACCCGAGAATTCAGTCGACGAGAGTGTTATTTCCATCAATAGGTCTATGATGAAGTTAAACAAAAATGGAGAAAGTGGATAGCCTTGACGAACACCACTTGAGGTTGCAAAAGTAGATGACAGTTCGCCATAAGCCCTGACTCGACTAGTAGTGTTCGAGTAAAGAGCCTTCACAAGGTTTATGTACTTCTGAGGTACGCCTTTCAATGACAGACACTGCCACAGAGTCTCGCGGTCTACCGAGTCAAATGCTGCTTTTAAGTCAAGTGTTAAGGTCTTTTTGTAACTACTGTGGTCGGATATTTTTTCATTGTTAAATACACTAATATACAAACCTCTGGTTTTGTTTATGTTCAGTGTGATAAAGAGACAAAATAAGGTAAATGATTGGTTTACAGTCACACCCAGAAATATAAAAGTGAGAAAATAGAGTGAGACCTATGCGTTTGACGCCAAATCGGATTGCAGAGAGATTTCAGAAATTAAAATTCTACAGAGGGTTAGGACGGACCTCGCTGACAGGTCAATCATTGTTCATAAGAGAATCTCTCGAAAAGGAACCAAAGGCTAGTTTTGAGCACGACCTAAGCTACATTAAGTCCTTAATTGGCAAGCTACTCCCAGAAACAGTTTCAGGAGTTAGCATCTGTAAGCTTTTTAGAATAAGACAAAAGGTGGATTCTGAAAGTACTTAGAAAAGCCGCCTCTTAAAAGTTATCTTTGCTTCGGCTGAAGAAACCTGATACTGGGAAACACACGCAAACTGATCGGATCTGGAATATACGTCCGCGAAGATCTCAGCCTGATTGACCGCGTTAAAAGACGATCGGCAGAAGTAGAAACAAATAAGCGTCGCCGAAACGATGAAAAACCTCGGACTTGAGGGTTTTCATATTGTAAAATTTCGAAGCTCTTCACAGAATTAACGGTGTGCTACACAAATGCTCGCAGTCTACTAAATAAAATGGCGGAGCTCAAAACAATGGTGGATATAGAAAAACCGAATATCAGTGCTGTCTCAGAAACATGGTTAGCGTCAGGAATGTTTGATAGTGAAATTCAGTTGATTGGCTTTTTATCCTGTAGGGCTAATAGACTAAACCATAGGGGAGGTGAAGTTACCCTGTACACGAATAGTACTTCAGCCATACGAGCTGTTGGGACAGCGGTACATGATTCAGGGACATATAAACTGGTACGATGCAGGTTGAAATGTAGACGGCAAAATAATGAATTAGTTGTAGTATATCGCAGTCCAGAACGTGTATTAGATGAGTTTCTCCTAAGCAAATTGGTGTAATAGGGGTGAAAGTCTTACAGTAGGCAACTTTAATGCACTGGACAAACTTAGAAGTAGTGTCATCAACAACGACATTTGACTGTAAATCGCTAGAAACCATAATTGCACTAGCTTTATTACAGCACATTAGAGATCCCACTAGACATGATTTACGAAGCTCCCCGTCTCTCTTGAATTTAGTATTCACCCACGGTGATGACGTCAGTCGAATAATTTTCCCTCCACATCTAGGGAAAAGTGACCATACAATCATCTTACTTAAGTTTATGGATCAGTTGTTCTGTCAAACAGTTGCGCCGACCAGTCCTAACATATGAAAGGCAGACATGGAGGCAATAAACTCTGTAGCATCGGTTGAAAACTGGAGAATGGACTCCTATGCAGTTAGTCAGCTAAAACGTAGGACCAGGCACATATATGCATCGGTCCAAGTTGCCATACCTTATTAACACAACAAGATGGACACCGGATTCATAAAAGTAGTTAATTCAGAGGTGGTAATATATAAAAGAAAGATTGCATATAAGGATATAGTACAGGAAGAAAGAATTAGTTCGTAGAAAGAAAGATATGAAGCGAATTTTGATCTCTTAGTTTAAGGGAAGACAGAGAGTGTATACACCGACGCCATTGTGATCGATTCTGAACCATGTCACCAAGAGTCTCCAACCATTGGTTACGATAGTCACGCGGACCCCAACCAAGTAGTCTGCATCTACCAACATGGCTCAGACTAGAAGTTAGTGTCTTCAAGCACTGATGCCACGTTTTGGTTTGGCCGCCCCTAACTTTCTTCCAACAATCCCCAACACCGGTTAGCATTGCGCGTCGTGGTAATCGGTGTTCAGGCATACGTAACACGTGGCCCAACCATCTCAGTCGATGAAGATTCACAACCTCATCAACTGATTTGCCATCATTTTCTAATATCCTGCGTCGAACCTCACTATTACTTACCTTGTTATCCCAGCAGATGCGAGCAATATTTCTAAGGCATCTGTGGTCAAATACTGATAACTTACGAGTGTCTTCTACTCTTAGTGGCCATGTTTCGCTGCCGTAAATTAAAACAGAATTGAAGTTGCCAAGGCGTTCGACTACTTCACTCCCTATCCTTAGTTCAGGTGTTGACGCAGACCAGTCCTGAAGCAGCTTGCATTTAGAGGGATAGAAGCGCATCAGTAGAAGAGGCATGTACTCATTTCAGGCAGTTATACAATCGGGTAACTCAACCATATATACCCTGGACAATTCAAAAGCGCGGTCATCTGTGGATAGCCCAGGATATTTGATATTTACTAAGAAAAGTAAAAATGTTGTAACTCTATCATTAGAATTCACACAGCAAGTACTATGGAACGCTACAGGTCGGTAAGAAATAAGTGTAGAAATAAAATCCGGGAAGCTCAGGGAAAATATGGAATAGAGTAGGCACAAACTGCAATCAAGCAGCCTAGGAGACTAATCCTACACATTAATTACAGAACAAGGATGCAGCAATGGATTCCCAACCTAATTACGGGAGAGAGTGAACCTGAAATGATAGGTGGTCAAAAAAAGCAGAGGCTATGGCACAATATTTCGAGAGTTTTCATTCAGGAGCTTCTTCTAGACCAAGAACTTGACCCACGTAGCGTCAAAAAACCGTCTGCTCACCGTAGATTTCGATCAAGACGATTAGTTAAGGCTCTTAGTACCTCAGACACGGAAACGTCAACAGGACCGGGTGAACTATATCCCAAAATCCCGAGACAGATTGAACAATATATTGCAGCCTCATTAACAGTGATATTTAGCATATCACTTGGCCAATGTGAAAAACCTACAGACTGGAAGGGTGCAGTCAAGTAGAAAAGGCTAGAACGAATAAAATAGCCTTGTCATACAGGTTTTCACACCGAGTCATCAATTCTTGGAACCTGTTATCCGAAGCAGTGGTGTCCGCACCTCTAATTGACTCATTCAAGAGAAGACCAGACACTCACAGGAGCATACCAGAAAAAGAATGGCATAGGCTGTATGCATTTTGTCCTTACTGCACAAATATGAATCTGAAAAACCCACAGCTCATGGTGAATATGGACATATCTTAACACCCAACATAGAAAACTTTCTTATCAAAATTAGTGCATATATTTGGCCGAAGCACATGCATAACAAGTAATATGTTGGAAAGGTTAGATAGCTGAATTAAAACTAACAATAATATACACGTTGTACCATATCTCTGGATGTGATATTGTTCACTCTTCGAAGAAACTTTATGAAACCGCAAAATTAAAAAACTAACCGTGTAATAAGATAAAACCCCTAGGCTTATGTCAAGCACAAACCAACGGTATTGCCAACCATTGACGAGATTAGTCCATTTGCTTAAAGGGCCTTCCATCGTAAATGAGTTATCCATATTTTCCGCATTCAAAAACCTCGGCACCCAGTACGCATTCGTCCAGATAAACACCACATCCAAACCAGAGCATCAAGAGTATTACACTAAATTTCCACACAGTAAAATTCAGACCAATAGATTTTATTTGAAAAAGGTTTTGTAAAACGGTGTACACTGTTTGAAATACTTATGTGTTAAGTGTAAATCTATGGCAGTGAATAAATTCATAGTCTATCCATATTGCCTTTGAAATTCCGTCTACCATTCAGTACTAGTCTGTCAATATTTGTGCACCGTAGAAGCATGTGGAGTACAGTGAGGAAACCAGATTGTGCAATAAATCGATATGCCATATTTTACCACAACCCTCTTCCCTCTTCAGTAACACCATTGTAAGTCGGCCGACCTGTGTAAATCTTCGCAGTGAAAATCACATAGGAGTTCATTTTGCTAGAATCTCTCGCCACGTTGGGTTATAACACTAATGCAATTTAGATATTCTAGCCATTGAGAACTCAGTGAAAAGTTCCGAATCACATCCTGATTTTCTATGATCGCGATATCCCCAGTGATGAACGGTCGAAAGCGGACTACACCGACACCCAACTTATCAGCCACGACACGAAATTGCGGTATGAGATTGAAACGCGTTCTGTGACTAACGGAAACACCCGTCCGTTTTAGTCACTTTGAATACGAGAGATTAGTCAGGTCTGTCATCAACAATTTACTGTTTGGACGCACCAGATAATTTTATTATATGATATGAACCGAACAGCTTGGATGCACCATCCTACCTCAGATTTCACACATTCCTACCAACTATGTGTTTTTACATCTTTGTATTGACAGCCGACTATTTGTTAAGTTTCAGCTACGGCCGTCTAAGGTTTATCTAGCAACCCAATTATGTAAATGGGTTTATTACCCGCCAAAGCTTCAAAATATCTCTATTACTACTTCCGTTTCCTATTTAATGAAGTGTGTTCAGTTCTAGTATCATTGTCAATGAGTAATAATTTGCTTCGCTGTTCAGCCGCTCTACCTGGTTTAATTTACTTTAATGATAACAATTTCACTAACAAGGACATAGTACACACTGTGAACATTTAGACATCCAAGATAGGGACATACAACAAGAGCGCAGAGCGCTTGAGTTATATGTAAGACTAAGCGGGTTCCTTTGCAACAGCAGTAAAGTTCGATTTTAAAAAACTAATATCTGAGGAGCAATTACGGTTTCCAGTAATTTTGTCTCTATTCAGGATTGTTTGCGATCTCCAACGTTGCGACGAATTGTATATTAAAACGGTGAAGTTACCACAAATCGTAATAAATACCAACTAACGTGATTATTGTGTCCTACCGGTTCAAACAGAAATGGATGTACCACACGTAAGCTTAAATCCATGCATGAGTAAGACTGCTTCAATCTCTTTACTGTGGATGATAAACAATCTACCAACTAAGAATGTACTTATTACTCAGAATTGCTGAATAACTTGATAAACGATGCAATGTACGTAGAAATATGTAATTGTGGTGTTTGAATTAACTAATGATTCTTTTGTACTTGTTGAATGCTCGATTTCGAATTCTAAATACAGTACATTCGTTGTGCCTGTGTCTTCTTAATTCAATTGCGTTAATCCTGGAATTCCTAATTCATACTATAATTAGAATACTATATTGGCGTCGCGATGGAGCCTGCAATGGAAAAGTTAGATATTCATTCAACTTCAGAAGCTTTTGAAGATTACTTTGAAAGGTTCGAAATCTGGGCTATGACCAAGGAAGATGATGAGGATGTTAATATTGTGGCACACTTCCTCACATTCATTGGAAAAGAAGCATACAGCTTATTAAGAACTCTGGCCATGCCGGAAAAACCCATTTCGCTTTCTTATACAGCTCTCAAGGATCTACTGCTAGACTATGCTCAGTATACAAATTTCAAATGTCGTAAAGGAGGAAGATTTCGTAAAATGATTCATGAGGATATAAAAAAGTCCACTACATTACTACGTCATCTCAACCTAGTGCATACTCAAGGTTATGCAGACAATTCATTGAATTTGGATGCCATTCACGAGGATGGGGACAAGTTTGGTCAGTGTTTGTCCTGTTGCAAGTTCCACTCTTCTAATTCATGTAAATTTCATAATTCTAAATGCTTCAAATGTCGTGATATTGGACAAGTTCAGTCAGTTTGTAATGCTAATGTTCATCTTACTGCAATTAATATTAAGTCTTGTAATTCTGATTCTACTGAGTCGAGTATTCATGATGATCATTTATCTTTATCAACGATTTCAAAAGACAGTGCAGAGTCATATGGCAGTTCAGAGTTAAATGAAATCCAGAATTCTTGTGAGACAACATTTCCTAATCAACCGATTTATCAGAATTCTCATGCTATTGTACCAAGTATGACTTTTCCTAATGATTCACATATTTCTAATGAAATTACTTGCAATTCTGAGGAAAATATGTTAAATGAACCTAATCATGATCGAAAACCTGATGTGGTTTGGATAGATGCTGATTTTTCTAACGATCCTACGCTCTGCAACGACAGTCCTGATGAATTTCATGAGAATATTTCAGAAGAATCAAATCCTGATGTCATATCATATATTACCTATCCTCATGATGTATTTGATCTTCGTGAAAAACCTGCCCAATGCGAAGCACGAGTACTAAGTGACCTCGAGTTTTATTATATTTCGGATGATTTCATATCAACTGCTGTTTACTCTTATCACAAAAACAGTTCTAATGTTTACTCTAAACAATGTGAGATATATGTTTTAAATGAAGCCACATTATTCATAACTTGGGAGTATAAAGATCCAACATTATTTCGTGGGGGGGGATAGTGTTGAAAAATCTATGGTTCGAATTCTAGATATTAATGATTTCATTACAAAACCGACATGCTGGTTGTATACAATTCCAGGTGAGTCTGTTCCGATTTCGTTTGTTAATTCCAATACTAATGAGCACTTTCTAGATACTACAAAGTTTTTATCTTATACAATGTCGGACAGACTCAGGATGAACTTAACAAGAAGACGTACAACCGATTACAAACACTTATACTTCTATTTAAGCTGTGGCGGATGTGGTGTTTGAATTAACTAATGATTCTTTTGTACTTGTTGAATGCTCGATTTCGAATTCTAAATACAGTACATTCGTTGTGCCTGTGTCTTCTTAATTCAATTGCGTTAATCCTGGAATTCCTAATTCATACTATAATTAGAATACTATAGTAATATAATAATATGGTCAGTGTTTGGTTGGTAATGAATATATTTGACAGTATGAAGATGCTGTGAGCATTTCCTGCCAGTTCCAGGAATGATTTCAAACATCTATTGTGTTAGTTTCTTCGTAGGTACAGAAGTATCTTGCATACGTTCAGTTTAATTCAGACTTAGTTATGTAATTTATAAAACCGTCTCAGTAATTCACGCTTCGTCCATATTTTTTGGGTTCATTTATGAGTCTGTGAGACTATTGCTTAGATTGGTATTGGTGCACTGATCTTTGCTCCCGGAGTAATACACCTAGTTCAAAATTTTGTCTTCTCACTATTTGCCTACTTTATCTATCAGATATTTTATTCTGACTCGTTCTGTGGTGAATTCAGTACTTTGTTATTTATTACTTCTGAAATGCATATTAGGACCGGAAAAAGACTATTGTGTGTTGGTGTGAAAAACAAAAAAAATATTACATGGGGTAATCATATATGCATGGCCGAAATATACCATAAAGATTAGGTTTTCCGCGTTCAACATTTCTGACCTTTTCTATGCTATTATATTACATACTTACTTGTTCATTTTTCTCATGTCTATCTCCATTTCCCGGTGTAATGTGTTCTTTGGTCTTCCTCTCTTCATTTGGCCTTGGAGATTACAAGTGAGGGCGTGTCTTGTGACGCAGTTGGGTGCTTTCCTCAATGTGTGTCCTATCCACTTCCAGCGCCTCTTCCTAATTTCTTCCTCCGCTGGGATCTGGTTTGTTCTCTACCACAGTTGGTTGTTGCTAATAGTGTTCGGCCAACGGATCCAAAGTATTTTGTGTAGACAACTGTTAATAAACACCTGTATTTTCTGGATGATGGCTCTCGTAGTTCTCCAGGTTTCTGCCCCATACAGTAGAACTGTCTTGACATTTGTATTGAAAATCCTTACCTTGGTGTTGGTTGACAGTTGCTTTAAGTTCCAGATGTTCCTCAGTTGTAAATATGCTGCTCTTGCTTCACCGATCCGCGCTTTCACATCCGCATCAGATCCACCATGTTCCTCAATGATGCTGCCCAGATAAGTAAAGGTTTTTACAACTTCCAAAGCTTCTCCGTCAATTGTGATTGGGTTGGTGCATGCTGTGTTGTATCAGAGGATCTTGCTTTTTCCCTTGTGTATGTTAAGACATACTGCTGCCAAGGCTGTTGCCACATTTTTCGTCTTCTTCTGCATTTGCTGTTGCAATTGTGATAGGAGGGCCAGACCATCTGCGAAGTCTAGATCGTCCAGCTGCATCTTAGATGTTCACTACATCCCAAGTTCCTCCCTAGATATTGACGTCTTCATGACCCAGTCGATCACCAGGAGAAAGAGAAAGGGTGAGAGTAAGCAACCTTACCTGACACCGGTCTTTACCTCGAACGACTTTGTCAACTGTCCTCCATGCGCAATTTTGCAGTGTAATCCATCGTAGGAATTCTGTATGATATTGACCATCTTCTGAGGCACGCCGTAGTGTCGAAGAAGCTTCCATAGTGTTGTTCTGTCCACGCTATCAAATGCTTTTTCGTAGTCAATGAAGTTGATGTACAGTGATGAATTCCATTCAGTTGATTGTTCCACAATGATCCGTGGAGTTGGGAGTTGGTCTGTACACGATCTATCCTTACGGAATCCTGCCTGTTGGTCACGAAGTTGGGTGTCTACGCAGTCCTTCATTCTGTTTAACAATACCCTGTTGAGGACTTTTCCAGGTATTGAGAGAAGAGTGATGCCTCTGTAGTTATCCCAGTTGCTG